TCTGCAAAGGGGATGGTAGCCAGGCTCGAACTGATCCCTATCCGTAAGACCGGCAAGCCCAAGGCGACGGCATTCTCAGGGGGGTCCCTCAGAAACTGAAAGAATCCTTGAGATCGGCACCGATGTAGGGTGATGCCAAGCGTCGGGATCGGGAAATGTTTCAAGCTGGTGTCCCCTAAAGCCGCGCACCAAATCCAAGCGCGCGGGCGACAGTGCTGGGGCCAGCCCTGCGAGCCCGCAGCAAAAGTCACTCTGGCGACAGGTCGCTCTGACTTGTGGCCGGAAGGTGGGGGGCTGCCGCCAGCCTGTAGTCGAGCCTGTCACTCTGCAGGAGGAAAACTCAAAAATCCGCCGACCCCTTGTGGGTCTCTAGGCGCGTGAGATTGATTCTCCTTTCTAAAAAGAGAATGGACTCTACCCCCCCCCCCCCCGGCGTTATCCGCCCTCCTTTCAGGTATGTGAATCATATATGATTATGACCACATGTCCATCCGAAATATGAATTTACACTATCCCAGGGGAACCGGGATCGGTCACCCTGAGGTTCCCTTGTAAAAAACGATACGCGGGGACATTTGTTCTGACATAACACTTGTTCGCGAATCCCTTGCAAAAAACGGGACGAAGTGCACACGCGGGCGTCGTCGCGCGCATGCCGAAATCCTTCAAAAACCTTCGGTGCCGGAAGGATTTCGCAATCGAGTTTCCGAAAAAACAAACAAAAACACATGGTTTCGCAACACTGATTTGCTAAAAAAGCTTACGCGCGAGCTCTTGCGAAAACTTAAGAAAACCATTGGTTATTCAAGATGTTTACAAAATGTTTCCAAACGGGTTTCGCGCGCGCGCGCATATCGAAATCTGTCGAACGCCCTTGCGCGTGTGCCGTCGCGAGAATCCTCTGCAAAAAACAGGACGAAGTGCAGACGCGCGCGTCGTCGCGCGCGTACGCCGAAATCCTTCAAAACCCATCGGTTTCGGAAGGATTTCAAAATCGTGTCCAAAAAACCTACGAAAACACAAGGTTTCGCAACCCGGATTTTCAACAAAAGCGTGCGCACGCGCTCTTGCGTCGTCGTCGTCGTCGCCGTCCTCCCTCCTCCGGCGTCGTCGTCGTCGTCGCCTACGTCGTCCTGTCTTTCCTCGTGTTCGTCGTCGTCGTCCTCTTTGGCGTCGTGGCCGTTTCCGTCGTCGTTGTCGCCGTGGTCGTCCTTCCTCCTCCTCCCTCGTCGTCGTCGTCGTCCGTCGTCGACGTCTCGTCGTCGTCCCTCCTATTTCGTCGCCGTCGTCGTCGTCGTCGTCGTCGTCGTCGTTGTCGTCGTCGTCGTCGTCTTCCCTCCTCCCTCGTCGTTGTCGTCGTCGGCGTCGCCGTCCTTCCTCCTTTTTCGTCGTTCGCGTCGGTCGCGCCAAACAAGCTGGCCGCTGTGCGCGCGAGCATTCGCGGGCTAGCGCGGCCGCAGAGATGCACCAGCCAACACCCAGCACTCATCGCAATCGCTGCCACATGGGCTTTGCAAACCAAGTTGCGGGTGGGTGGGTGGGATGATTGCGCGAACAGTGGAGTTGACAACTTCAAGTTCGTCAAGTGATTCCCCCCCATAATCCCCCCCAGGGACCCCAAACCAGGAATTTGACCCCCCCCCCCTCCGGGCCCAGGACGAACGCCTCATGGGGACCTGGAAGGCCCCAAAATGGGCCAAGAGGTCTCCAAAAGGCCTCCTAGAACGTCACAGAGGGCCACGAGTCCCCGGAAGAGCGCTCCAAGACGCCTAAGATGGCCTCCAGACGGCCACAGAAGGCCCCAAGACGCCCCAAGAATCCCCCGAGATGCGTCCCAAGAGGGCCCCAAGAAACAAGCATCGCCCCACTCCGATGGGAAAACGTATAGTTTTAGCCTATTCGCCTCTTGGGCTCCCACAACGTCCAAGACGGCCCAAGAAGCCTTCAATATCGCCCCAAGACGCCCCAAGACGGCCCAAGAGGCCCCCAAGAGACCTCGAAAAAGGCCCCAGGACGGCCCAATAAGCTTCCAAGACAACCCAAGAGGGCCCCAGGACGGCCCCCAGAGGGTGACGTTTCTAGCATTCGGCCCCAAAACGCCCCCAGGTTGCCCAAAAACCTCCCAGGGACCTCCAAGAAAGCCCCACAAGGCGCCCAAGAGGCCCCCAATAGGCCCCAAAATTGCCTCCAAGACGCCCCCGAGAGGCCTCCCACGACACCCCATCGGCCATCCGAGCCCAGGCACGGTGGCGGGATGCACCGAGGGCCATTCGCGAATCACTTTCCTGGTGCGTTCACTGATGCCCGCCGCGTGTGAGCTGTTGTTTCTGGTGTTTGTCCCATGTCTGCACGGCGAACAGTCCGAACGGCACCCGCGGACAATGCGCTGACCTAAGACACCTCCCTACGTTAGATGCTCATTCTGGGGACCTTCCTGGAGCCACTCGCTCCACTCGTGCGTCGAAGCTGCGTCGAACCTGAGTCGAACCTGAGTCGAACATGAGTCGAACTTGAGTCGAACCTGAGTCGAACCTGAGTCGAACCTGAGTCGAGCTTGAGTCGAACCTGAGTCGAATAGATCCATTAGGTGGCCCCCAGGAAGGTCCCCAAAACGAGCATCGAACCTACGGACTCACGCCCACAGCCCGCTGCACCTTCCGCCAGGTTCTCGCGCCCGCGAGGCCGCGGCCCGCGCTGAGACCTTCGACAAGCCGGCGCCCGCGAATCCGCACCCCCCTCGGAAAGTTACTACGTCCTCCTCCTCCTCCTCCTCCTCCTCCTCCTCCTCCCCTCCCCCTCCTCCCCCTCCTCCCCCTCCTCCTCCTCCTCCTCCTCCTCCTCCTCCTGCTCCTCCTCCTCCAGGCTCGCGCTCCCGAGGCCACCACACCTGCGCACCTGATGACACGGCCGCGCCCCCAAAGCCGCCACGCCTCAAAATTGCTGCGCGCGGGCGCCCCCGAGGCCACGAACCTCGCGAAGGCCGCCCACAAGCGCCATCCCCTCTGCAGAGCAGGACACCTGTAATGATCTGCGTTGGGATCTGTGTTCGGGCACGGCGGTGATCTAAAACAAAAGCAAGACAAAAAAACGGAAGCCCAACACGATATCCTCCTGACGGAATGTGGCTGACAAGCGTCGGGGTACAAGACCCAGCGGGCACATTTGACACCCGTCACCGCCATGTTGGCTACCAACCGCTGGGGTACCAGACCCGAACGGGCGCGGTTGGGAACCAAATTGAATGACGGACCCGGAACGCCAACGATGTAAGAGAACACATGCGATCACACATGCGACAGAAACCGTCGTCATCCATCCTCTGGACCAGCCGCCCCACGCATCCCTCCTCCGCTGTCGTCATCCTCGCCCACCCGATTGTCCTTCCCCTGATCGCCATCCACCTTTTCCTCGTCCTCCTCCTCCTCATCAGCAGTCCTCCTCAACCCGCTCACCTTTCGTTGGGAATCGCGAAATGGCACCGCTGGCTCTCCAGACCAGCATTCAACTGTTCAGCCTTCACGGCGTTCAGAACCGTCCACGAGGCCCCCACGGCCGCCCGAAGATGGCCAAAGAGGGTCCCAAGAGGCTCTCAAGACGGCCCAAAAGAACTCCAAGACATCCCCACAGGCACCAGAGACAGCCCAACAGAGCTCGAAGACGGCCCCAAGAAGGGTCCAACAGAAGAACCACGAACCGAGAATTCCAACCTTCCCCCCACTGAAGCTCCCAGAAGATCCCACAGTGCCGCCAAAAAAACCCAAGAGACCCCCATGAAGCACCCAAAGGGCCCCAAGGAGCCCCCAAGAGGCCCAAAAGAGGCCCCACAAGGCGTGCCACTCCCGGGGCCCGTGGCCCCCCACACAGACACGGCAACACAAGAAACAAGGGGTCGGCGGATGTAGCGTAAGCCTACAGAATAGTCAAAAACCAATATGTGGACTATTTAGGGGGGGCATTTTTTGGCGTTTTTTTTTATTTGTTGTCGATGCTCAATTTCTCCTCGAAAATCGGCCTGCAGGGGGACGGGCCCGACTCAACGCCAGCCTCCGAGGCAGGAGCTCCTGCTCCCCGGGCAGGTCGCCGGCCGTGCGCCGCGCCACGGCCCTCGCCAGCAGCGCGCTCGGCCGCCAGGCGCCGGGCGGCATCCCGCGGCGCGCCGCTGCGCCGCGGCGCCGCTCGGCCGCAGGGCCGCGGCGCGCCGCAGGGCCGCGGCGCGCCGCGCAGCCGCAGGGGCCGCACAGGGCTCGCCGGCGGCGAGCTCGGCCGCAGGGCGCCGCCGCGGGCCGCTCGAGCGGGGCGGCGCCCCGTTGCCCGGCGCCGTGCCGCCGCGGGCCGCCGCGGGCCGCCGGGGGCGGCCAGGGCAGCAGGCGGTGAGCCGCAGCCAGCGCGGTCGGAGGAGGAGGAGGAGTGATGGGCCTGTTTGCCACCACCACCACCACCATAAGTTGGAGGGGGAGGAGGAGGGAGGGGGAGGAGGAGGGAGGAGGAGGAGAAGGAGGAGGAGGAGGAGGAGAAGGAGGACCCCCTCCCCCTCCTACTTATGGTGGTGGTGATTGAAAACAGGCCCACCAAGGAGGGAGGGACTCACGGGCGGCCCACTGTGCAGGCATGCCGCGTCCGCAGCTCTGGCTGGGTGCCGCACCGGGGTGCGCGCTGCAGGGGCGGGAGAGGGCGCGAGAGCTGCGAGCTGCCTGCCATCCCAGGGCTCGTGCTGCACGCCCGGGGAGGACCCCGGAGGGAGAGGAGGAGCCCCGAGGAGAGGAGGGACGAGGAGGGACGAGGAGGAAGAGGAGAACGGAGAAGGAGGAGGAGGAGGAGGAAGAGGAGGGAGGAGGAGGGGAGTAGTCTGGAGGAGGTCGAGTGGGAGGTGCGCCCTGCGTGACCACCTGGCAGCACACCAGCTGTCTCTGGTGGCCCGAGGCCGCGATCCTCCCACCCCGCCCGCCCTCGGCGGCTCTCGGGCTCCGAGGAGAGGGGAAGAGAAGGCGGACGAAGACGAGGAAGCATGTGCGGACGCTCTGACACACGCCTGTAAGGATCACAAAGTCGAAGATCTGTCAGAGTGTTCCCCGCCTCGTCAGGGCCCAAGGCGGCCGGTGCCGAGTCAGCGGGCCAGGAGCACGAGCACGAGCAAGAGCAGAGTGAGCCAGGACGGCATTCCGCGCGACCCTTGGTGAACTGCGGCGCCCACGAAACCTTCCAGCAGGCACGTCTCCACGGGGTAGTGGTCGCTCAGCTCCTTGGTGACCTCCGCCCAGTCGACGGTGGAAGCGCTGCAGACGCTGCTCGGCACGTAGCCGTCCTCGCAGCCCTCCGAGAGGACACCCGAGAGGTCCACGTGGTCCTCGATGACGAACACAGCTGGAGGGCTGGCGGCCAGATCGGAGGAGGCGATGATGCTCGGAGCAGAGCGAGTTGAGACAACCGCCGCTCAGAGTCGGTCCCTGGACCCCTCCCGGGGTCCAAGCGCACCAGATTGCCGAGTTGCGTCCTGCTATGGCGACGAGGGAGCCTCTCGAAGGCCAGCTGCCGTTGTCTCAACTCACCGTGCTCTGAGATGCGGTCGTACGAGTTGCTGGAGCTCGCAACTGTCGAGTCCAGCTCGTTCCCGGTCAGGAGGGTAAAGCCCGGGCAGCGGGAGAGCACTGTCGGCCAGACGCCCTCGTCGAAGTAGCTCCCGTCCGAGTTGTAGTCTCCGGCGAGCATGTGGTAGTCGGTATCAAAAGTGCTCTCCATCCAGCTGAGCACGTTGGGGAAGTCGTCGATCTCCTCTTCGGCATCCGTGGGCCTCGTGTGAGTGACACCGACGGCCATGGAGATGGCCCCCACTGCTGCGCTGAACACGTATGGGGGCCTAGCATGGATCCCCTGGCTGTCGGGGTAGGTGCCGCCACCCAGCACGGATACCACAGACTCGTCATAAAGAAGCGCATATTGCTCGTCACCGATGCGCGGGGAAACCGCCACAGCGAACGTCTTGGAACTGGCCTGGCTGGCCGCGGCAGCCAAGTCACAGATAGCAGACATCGTGTTGCTGCCGCACACGCCGCTTCCAGATGGCATCTGCGACAGCTCCTGGATCGCCACCGCGCCGTACCGGGATACCGTCCGCGCCAAGGCCCCCAGCACCGCCGGCCTGGAGGCCTTCGTGACCCCGAAGTTCTGGATGTTAAACGTTGCAAAGTGGAGGCCCCCGCAGCTGCTCGCGGGCTGCAGCTGCTGCTTGCCGAGGAAGAAATGGACGGTACTGACACAAACCTTCGGAGCTCCGCGCGGAGTTCTCGAGTCGTCGCCAGGACCGCCTCCGCCGTCGTGCGGAGCGCGCCAGGGAGCGGCGCCAGAGGGGCTGCCGGGGGGCAGTGCGCCCACTGAGTCAAACAAATGCGAACTGATGGCAAAAACTGCTGAAGACAAAAGCTCGTTCTGAACGCAAAGAATCTTCAATTGCAGAAGAGCAACAACAATCACAACAAGAAACGAAAGCAACAAGCATCTGAAGGGCAGAAGTTTGGCCCTCAGTGGGGACGTGTTGCCCTGAGGGGCCCCCGCGCAGACCCAACAAAATCCGCGCGGAGCTCCGACGGCTGAAGGTCGGAACTTTTGCGTAGCGTGTCGCTACGCCTTGCAAGCTGATAGCGTGTTGCTCAGCTCCGCGGGGCGGGAGGCTCGGAAAAAGTCGAAACGTTGACGCTTGGGTTGCGGATGCCACGACAACGAACACCCTAACAGTCCTATCATTGAATCTAAAATGTGTTTAGAATGTCGGAAAAATGTTCTACACATGTTTTAAGCCACATAATTAAAATATGCTCGAAACATTTAACATCTGGAAAAATTATTTGGCAACATGCTTCCTCTCCATTCATCGACTCCCACAACGCTTGGGGGCTGGGGCGTGGACGGCGTGCCGCGCCGAAGCGTGGTTGGCCAGAACCGGCGGAGCGACACGCTGAGCCAGAGTTCCTGACCGCACGTCTGTACTGCTTTTTCTCCCTCGTTCGCTGGGACCCCGCCGCGGGCCGCCCACACGCCGCACAGGCCGCCAGCGCGCGGCGCCACGCCGAGACCCCCCACCGGCGCGGCGGCGCGCGCGGGCGGCGCCGAAAGGCACGCGGAGCGGGCTGCGAAGGCCGCCTCCGCATTACTATGTCCGTGGGGCCGCCCGCCCAACGGGGCGCGGAGGACAGGCTTGAGGAGCTAATGACGCAAACATGCGCGCGGGCGCCACGATCCCAGATCTCCGAACGTATAATTTTTGTCGGTCCGGGTGCGTTGCGTCGATTTCGACCTCCGGGGCCCGCTGTCGGCTAAACTACCCCCGGGGAAGGGGTCAGGGCCTCTGGGGCGGGCGTGAGAGACTGATCACACAAACGCGCGCACGGGCACGATGACTGCGAGCATGTCCCCAGGCCCCCTCTCGCGCCGTGAAGGAGTCAGGGCGGAAGGGCGTTTCGCTATGTTTGGCATCCAGAGGCCCCCGCCGGGCCCCATGACCATCAGACAACGACTTAAGAAGAATAGCCGAACCCCCCGAAAGGGTACAGCCTTCTGGAGGTCCACGGTGTTGTTATTGTGTTATGTATGTATATATATATATATACCCCAACAAAAAAAAACTAGCAGCAAAAGTAAAGAGGCGGGTCTAGGAGCAGGTCGGCTATTGAAAGCGTGCAATCTTATGTGTTCTGAAGAGTGGGAGCGCGGATGTGCAGCTTAGTGTATTCATTCATTACCAGGGATCACGACCGCCCAGACCCAAAATGTTGCCCAGCACTAAGGCGAGAGCACGATTCCTGAATGAATTGCCAATACATATCAGACGAAACGGCTGCCAGGCCTCCTCTAGACCGAGCGGTCACCTCTAGCTATCGGAACCCTCCAGCGAAACGCTACCACGGAAAATCACGGCGTCGGAGGCCTCGGTCGTCACAGGATCCGCTATAGAGAGGCAGGTGGTGGTCTCCATGCGCCTGCGTTGCTCCAGTAGCTCCCACCTCACTAGCATGATTTGTTCCTCTGTATTCCCCAACCTCTGTTGCAGGATGTCGTTGTCGTTGCGGTCCTTGGCCGTCTTCTGCCATTTTGGCTTCGGCGTTGGCGATGCGGCCCTCGGCTTCCGTGGCCATGTTGTAGCACTTCTGCCTTTTTATGATGTTAATCGTTTGGCGTCTCGAAGAATCCTTTCCACGTTGTCCTGCGTGCGGCTGCTGTCAGCAAGTTTCTTCTCCACATCCTGGAGTTATCTCTGCAGTTGGTGGTCGCTTGTAATCAAAAGCTGATGCCGCGCATCAGCTGGATATCTTTCCATGGCTTCGATCACCTCCTCTGCCCTGACGAGCATATCCGCGCTAACGGTCCGCATGTGCTAGCGGTGTGTTGCCGTCTTTTCTGTAGCGTGATCTGAGTTTCGCGTCGCCTGCTTCAACTCGTCGCTGCAGTTCAAGATGGCGGTTCTTGTCACGTCGGCGCGCAGCTTCCACAGCGGCGCGGAGGCGTCTTCTGAGGTGGTCGATATCGTCGCTGGCTTCGGTCTTATGTTTCTCGGTGTCGTTGGCAATGCGCTGGTTGTCCTCCTTCAGAATCCTGCGCATGGCGCCGAGGTCCCACCCGTCTGTGGTTTCGCCTGCCCTTGGCTGCCTCCTTGGTGGTACGCTCCTTTCTGGTTGGTCTGCCTCGTCGTCTGTAGCATATGTGTCGCTGCGTCGGTCATATATTGCATCGCTGATGTCGCGTTAAACGGCGGTGAGCTCCTCAATGTTGTTCTCGATCTCGTTCCTGTATATCGTTATATGTTGCTGGTGAGTCTTGGAGCGCTCGCAGTAGTCCTCCGTGGCCCTCTTCGCATCGTCGATCTCCCTCGCGTGCTGAGCCAGGAGCATGTTGTTGAGGACCATCGCTTTGATGAAGGCGATATGTGCGTCGGCGTCGGTAGTGGGTAAGCCTGCTGCAATGCTTTTAACGTTGGCAGAGGCCGTTCTTCGCTCCTCGGCGCGTCTGGTATTATCCCAATCGTCCCTCGGCTTGTGGTCGTTGGGAAATAGTTCCCAGTCGCGCCTCCTGACGACGTAGATTGATCGCGTTGGTGATGTGATCGTCGAAGTTGTGTTTATTGTTGAACTTTCACTACTGAAGAATACATTCGCCGACCCTGCGTCGGCGTGTGTGAAGGGCTTGTCCGTTCCCGTCGTTCGTTCGTCGTCGTCTCTGTCGTCTCCTGTCCCTGCGCCCACCGCTTCCCTGGCCCAGTCGTCCCCTGTCCCTGCATTCCCCCTCTCCCTGGGCCTGTCTCCCCTCCTCCTCAGTCCCCCTCTTCCCTGGGCCCGTCGCCGCTCCCCCCCCGTTTTTCCGGCGCCTCCCCATAGTTGTCACTAAGTCGAAGGGAAGCCCCTTTGATCCCTCCCCTGCCGGGGGGGGGGGTCCGGAAGGGGGCGTCCTGGGGGGGGTCCCGGAGGGGGGCCCGGCGGGGGTCCCGCGTCAGATGCGACTCCCCCCCTGGGGGTCCCGGGGCCCATGGGCCCACACAACGCCTCAGACGGGCTAGAGAGCCGAGGCATCCTACCACCACGCCCCCGCCCCCCCCGTCCAGACCGCAGACTGCCCCAGCTCCGCTCCCGGCCCAGGCCCCGGCCCCGGCCCCGGCCCCGGCCCCGGCCTCGGCCGGTCCGGGCCCCAGGCCCGGCCCGAGCCCCAGCCCCAGCCTGAAGCCCAGCCCCGGTCCTGGCCCTGTCCCGGCCTCGGCCCCCGCCCGCGGGTCCTCCCGGACCCAGTCCCGGCCTCGGCCCTGCAAGCCCCGGCCCCGGCCAGCCCCGGCCCGGCCCCGGCCCCGGCCGGCCTCGGCCCCATCCCAGCCGCGGCCCCGGCCCCGGCCCGGGCCCTGGCCCTGGCTCCAGGCCCGCTCCGGCCCCGGCGCTGGCCCCGGGCGCCCCAGGCCCGCTCCAGTCCCGGCCCCGGCGCCTTCCAAACCTCACTGCACCTCCGTGGCTTCCCAGGTGCCCAAGATGTCGAACCTAGCTTCAAAACAGCGAACGAAGCCTGGAAGTCGCCCCAGGAGGGCGACAAGACGCCCCGAATGGTCCTGATAGGCAAATGGCGTCGTCGTCAACATCGTCAACATCATTGCCATTATCTCCCTCCTTCAACTCCTCATGATCGCCACGCTCTACTCCCCCCCGCCTTTCCTTCGCGCCCCCCCCCGCGACCGTGTTCGCCTCATTCTCCTCCTAATCATTCCCCCCTCTGTGCTCCTACTCCTCCTCATCCACCTCTCCGTCCTGTCCCCCTCCTCATCTTCATCCCCATGGTCCGCGCCCTCCTCCCCAACCTCAGGGTCGGCGTCACCGGCCGCAAGGCCTTCGCAATATTGTTGGTCCCCTCCCTCAGGTAACATATGTGTTCTTTCAATTGAAGTGCCCTTCTCGGGAGCCGCATCCAGTTATTCAATCAGGACGCATTTTCCTCCTCAAACTGCGTTGTTGGGCCCCGAACTACAACACCAACGACAACGACAACGACAACGACAACGACAACAACAACAACAACAACAACAACAACAACAACAACAACAACCATTTTAAGGCTGTACGCTCTTACTTGCCCGCGAGTCATTCAACACGTATACCCTACACCCTCGAAACCCGCCCTCTTCGTCTTCGATCACACCCCTTTCGGGGGGATTATTTCTCTTTGCTGGGGCCGGCGGGCTTAGACGTACGGGCAAACCGGAACGGGCGGACAATCCTTCGGGGGCGTACATCTCTCTGCCCGCCATTGGAATTGGCGCGGGCCCTGCAAGAGGAGGAGGGGAAGAACGAGGGAGAGTGGGAGGAAGGGGAGGGGGAAGGACGAAGGAAGAGGGAAGATACCACGTTGTGAAGGCGTCCTTGGCGCGTGCGTGGTTCCTGAGCGCCGAAACGCAATTCCAGAATAATTTGTGAGGACGTCGCACGCGAGAGCGCAGTCCTGAGTACATTGTGAGGAAATCTCGGGCGGGAGCGGGGGCCCTGACTAAGTTGCGAGGAGAGTCTCAAGCGGGAGCGCCGTCCCTGAGCAAATTGCACGGAAGTCTCAGGCGGGAGCGGGGGTCCTCACTAAATTGCGAGGAAGTCTCAGGCGGGAGCGCCGTTCCTGAGTCAATTGCGCGGAAATGTCAGGCAGGAGCGGGGGTCCTGAGTAAAATTCGAAGAAGTCTCAGGCGGGAGCGCCGTTCCCACGTAAATTGCACGGAAGTCTCAGGCGGGAGCGGGGGTCTTGATTACATTGCGAGGAAGTCTCAGACGGGAGCGCCTTTCCTGAGTAAATTGCGCGGAAGTCTCAGGCGGGAGCGGGGGTCCTGAGTAAAAATCGAGGAAGTCTCAGGCGGGAGCCGTTGTTGTTGTAGCCCGGGGGGCAGGGGCACAGTTTGAGCAGGAAGACTTTCCTTGAGAAAAAACCAAGTGCGAGCCCCGGGGGTGGCACTTCAATCAAAAAAACAATGTGCACCGGTGGGGGGGATCAACAATAATTATTCTTCAAGAATGAGAGTTCAACAACAACAACAAAAAAAAACAAAAACAACAACAACAACAACAACAACAACAACAACAACAACAACAACAACAACAACAACAACAACAACAACAACAACAACACAACAACGGCTCCCGCCTGATACTTCCTCGCAAGTTACTGAGGAATCGTGCTCTCGCGCGGGACCTCCTCACAATTGATACAGAATCGCGCTCTCGCGTGGGACTTCCTTACACTCTGTTCATGCGCCACGCCCTCGCCATTCAGGAGTCGCGCTCTCGCCGGGGATTTCCGCATAATTTACTTGGGAGTCGCGCTTTCGCCCGAGACGTCTGGCAAATTATGCAGGACTCACGCATTCGCGCAACATGCGTGTATTATTTTCCATTGAAGTGCCCCTCCCGGGGCTCGCTATGCTGGGGAAAATGTTCCTGGTCAAACTGTGCCTCTGGCACCCGGCTTAGAACAAGAACGGCCCCCACCGAACGTTTCCCTACAATTGTTTCGCGCTCTCGCGAGGGACTTCCTTATAATTTAATGCAGGAGTCACACTCTCGCGTGGGACATTCTTGCATTTCATGCATACGCCACGCCCTCGACACTCAGGAATCACGCTCTCGCTGTGGATTTCTTCCAGATGTATTGGGGAATCGCGCCATCGCTCGAGACTTCCTCGCGACCCACGCAAGACGCACGCTTTAGCAACCCGCCTGATCGACCTGGCCGTCTAGGCCCGCCTTCCTGACCCGCACGATACCCGCCCAATCTGCCCGTCTGGTCCTGTCCCGTGGTTTCTGGTCCTAGCCCCCCTCCTGCTATTATCTTTCGCGCTCCATCTTCCTCCCTCCCCCGTGTCCCTTCCTCCCATCCGTCCTCTCATTTCCTGCCTTAGGGGCTGCACGAAATACACAGGTTGCAGGTAAGAAAGATACTCCCCGAAAGGGGTACGATCGAAGACGAAGAGGGCGGGCAACGATAATTCGGAATATACGCGTTGAGTGGCACGCGAGCAGGCAAGAGCGAACAGTCTTAAAATGATCGTTGCTGTTATTATAGTTCTGGCCGTCGTCCTTTTTTGTGGGCGTCGTTTCCTTTTCGGATTGGGTCTTGCCTTTTCCCTTATTGTTATTGCCCTTGTTTTCTGGTTGTTGATGACGAGATCCTGGTGGTCATCCCTCCCCTTGCCGTCCTGGTAATTGCCCTTCCCGTTGAGGTTCCGGTTCCAGGACTTGTCCAGGTGGTCGACGGCCCACTGGTCCATCCAGCTGCTGTTCTTCCAGCGTTCGAGTTCTGCACCGATGGTTGACGCAGCGGGCTTGTAGCTGCTGTAGCTCTGGATCGCGGGCGGTTCGATGCTGATCTCCACGGTGGTTGCAACGATCCCGATCCGCTCGCATTGTTGGAGTTTGAGGTGGATGCCGAGGTGGATGCCGAGGTGGCTGCTGGGCGCTGTGGTGCGCGGCGAGGAGCTGGCGCGCTGTGTAGAACTGCTGGTGGATGTCGTGGTCAAGGAGCTCTCGTGCAGCGGCGACTCGTAGCAGTACACGTGTTTGAGCTATTTGTTCGCGTAGCCAATAGTTCCACGTTGGATTAGCCGACGAAGTCGTGGTGCCCTGAAGGGAAGAGGATGTAGTCGAAAAGGAGTGTTAAAAAGGTATGGTACGAAAACGGATGTAACAGTGGATGGTACATGAAAGGTTTTACAATCAAGGCTGGCACACTAGGGTTGGCACACTTGAGCCAAAATTTAAACAGGCTCCTCCTCCTCTTCTTCCTCCTCCTCCTTTTCCTCCTCCTCCTCCTCCTGCTCCTGCTCATCCTCGTCCTCCTCCTCATCCTCCTCCTCCTCTTCATCCTCCTCCTTCTCTTCCTCTCCCTCCTCTTCCTCCTCCTCCTCATCCTCCTCTTCATCCTTTCCCCCGTGCCCCCTCCTCCTCCTCCTCCTCCTCCTCCTCCTCCTCATCCTCATCCTCATCCGCCCCACCTCCTCGCCCTATCAACTCACCCTTCCCCGCACTCCACGCAGCTCGCTCCCTTCCGACTTCCCTGGGACCATCCTGAATCGTTTTCGGTCGGCCCCGGGGCCCAGGTCAGGACCCCCAGAGGCCGAAGATGACGAGGAGCCTCCCCTCGTGCTCTCTGCCACGACGCGAAGAGGTCTGAGGCCTGGGCGTGGCGGTGAACATGAAGGGGCCCTGGGACACACAAATAAATACACACAAATAAAATGATTCCCCATATTTTCCCATATATTTTGGTTTGTGTCTTCCCCCCCACTTCCCATATGTTCCCATATTTTCCTGGGGATCGACGATTAATTGTGTCTGTGTGTTTCTTTCCCTCCTGACAACAGGCGACCCCCCCGTGACTGTCCTCAGAGTTGCGCTCCGACAAAGAGCTTCGACGCGGATCCCAACGAGGCGACGGGGAGCCTCCCGAAGGCCCCAGAAAATTATCCTGGCGAAAGACCCAACCATAAGCAATTGTTGGTAACGCGTTGTGGGTGCCGCTTTCGGTGGGGCTCCATATGGGGCCACGAAGCGCTGCCTTGGATGGGGGAACCGCATGCGGACTGCGCCACCGGGGCGGGCCTTCGGTGGAGCTCCCTATGGGGCTACGAAACGCTGCCCTGGGTGGGGGAACCGCATGCGAACTGCGCCACTGGGGCCTTCGGTGGAGCTCCCTATGGTGCCACGAAACGCTGCCCTGGGCGGGGGAAGCGCATGCGAACTGCGCCACGGGGGCTTTCGGTGGAGCTCCCCATGGGGCCACGAAGCGCTGCCCTGGGTGGGGGAACCGCATGCGAGAGCAGCACTGGGGCCTCGGTGGAGCTCTATGGGGCCACGAAACGCTCCTGGGTGGGGGAACCGCATGCGAACACCCCCACTGGGGCCTTCGGTGGAGCTCCCTATGGGGCTACGAAACGCTGCCCTGGGTGGGGGAACCGCATGCGAACACCCCCACTGGGGCCTTCGGTGGAGCTCCCTATGGGGCCACGAAACGCTGCCCTGGGTGGGGGAACCGCATGCGAACACCCCCACTGGGGCCTTCGGTGGAGCTCCCTATGGGGCTACGAAACGCTGCCCTGGGTGGGGGAACCGCATGCGAACACCCCCACTGGGGCCTTCGGTGGAGCTCCCTATGGGGCCACGAAACGCTGCCCTGGGTGGGGGAACCGCATGCGAACACCCCCACTGGGGCCTTCGGTGGAGCTCCCTATGGGGCCACGAAACGCTGCCCTGGGTGGGGGAACCGCATGCGAACACCCCCACTGGGGCCTTCGGTGGAGCTCCCTATGGGGCCACGAAACGCTGCCCTGGGTGGGGGAACCGCATGCGAACACCCCCACTGGGGCCTTCGGTGGAGCTCCCTATGGGGCTACGAAACGCTGCCCTGGGTGGGGGAACCGCATGCGAACACCCCCACTGGGGCCTTCGGTGGAGCTCCCTATGGGGCCACGAAACGCTGCCCTGGGTGGGGGAACCGCATGCGAACACCCCCACTGGGGCCTTCGGTGGAGCTCCCTATGGGGCCACGAAACGCTGCCCTGGGTGGGGGAACCGCATGCGAACACCCCCACTGGGGCCTTCGGTGGAGCTCCCTATGGGGCTACGAAACGCTGCCCTGGGTGGGGGAACCGCATGCGAACACCCCCACTGGGGCCTTCGGTGGAGCTCCCTATGGGGCCACGAAACGCTGCCCTGGGTGGGGGAACCGCATGCGAACACCCCCACTGGGGCCTTCGGTGGAGCTCCCTATGGGGCCACGAAACGCTGCCCTGGGTGGGGAACCGCATGCGAACACCCCCACTGGGGCCTTCGGTGGAGCTCCCTATGGGGCTACGAAACGCTGCCCTGGGTGGGGGAACCGCATGCGAACACCCCCACTGGGGCCTTCGGTGGAGCTCCCTATGGGGCCACGAAACGCTGCCCTGGGTGGGGGAACCGCATGCGAACACCCCCACTGGGGCCTTCGGTGGAGCTCCCTATATGGGGGCGCACGAACCCCCACGCTGCCCTGGGTGGGGGAACCGCATGCGAACACCCCCACTGGGGCCTTCGGTGGAGCTCCCTATGGGGCCACGAAACGCTGCCCTGGGTGGGGGAACCGCATGCGAACACCCCCACTGGGGCCTTCGGTGGAGCTCCCTATGGGGCCACGAAACGCTGCCCTGGGTGGGGGAACCGCATGCGAACACCCCCACTGGGGCCTTCGGTGGAGCTCCCTATGGGGCCACGAAACGCTGCCCTGGGTGGGGGAACCGCATGCGAACACCCCCACTGGGGCCTTCGGTGGAGCTCCCTATGGGGCCACGAAACGCTGCCCTGGGTGGGGGAACCGCATGCGAACACCCCCACTGGGGCCTTCGGTGGAGCTCCCTATGGGGCTACGAAACGCGTGAGAGGTGTGCCGAGAGCAGAGGCAAGGAGGGGGAGGAGGGAGGAGGAGAGGAAGGAGAGGAACGCGGGGCACCGTCTCTTCAAAACGAGGACCCAACACCACAGGATGGTTGGGGGAAAAAAAAAAAAAAAAAAAAAAAAAAAAAAAAAAAAAAAAAAAAAAAAAAAAAAAAAAAAAACACGCCGACGCGGCCGCTGACCTCGATCCTCGATCCTCGATCGTCGACGGAGGACGTCGATCCTCGATCCTCGATCCTCGATCCTCAGTCCTCGATCCTCGATCCTCGATCGTCGCCGATGACCTGCAATCTTTCTCGGAGCCTCGGTCCACCACCGTGCGGCGGTATGGGCAGCGAGTGGCTGGAGGCCTCCTAAATGGGGAGGGAGCAGATGGGGCCAGAAGATCCCACCGTATCGCCGATGCATCGGAGATGCATCTGCGACATCGGGATGAAAAAAAACGGGCTTCGGACCTCGCCGAGTCATCAATGCATCGGAGAAGCGGCGCGATCCTCCGGCCCCATCCACGCTGGCCCCATGTGTGCGCGCCGCCAGAAGATATCCATGTAGCGGGGTCCGGAAATCCTGAGCCCAAAAATGTGGGGGCGCATGTCTTCCTTCCGCCGGCTTCCACCGAGCTTCCGGCGGCTTCCGCCAGCGGGCGCCCTCGCTTTACCTCCGCCGCCCTCCGCCGCCCTTGCGCCGAGGAAGAGAGATGCCAACGCCCTCGAGCCTCGGAGGCGAGGCCCCCTCTGGAGCACCCCGCGCGTGCCCGCAGCTGCTGGAGCCCTGCCCCCGGGCATCCCTGGAGAGCGGTGGGCGCGGGCGTCTCTCTGCCCGCTGGGGCGGGCACAGGTCCGCAGCCGCCACTTCCTCAAGGTGAACTGGGTCGGGAGTGCCCTCCTGCAGGGGGATGTTGGCAGAAACGACTCAAAGAGATTGTTCGCTGCGTGGAGCTCCCCATATGTGCATCTCTTTGCGCTGGCACTTCCGCCCTGAATGTCTGGGCGCAAGAAACTTCGATTATAAACGAGCTTGGATATTGACAGCCTGAGAAAGAGTCTAACTGTGAATGATTTTGAATGTATTGAAGCCCCAGTAGTACGAGTCAGTCTATGCGTGTGAGCCTGCGCATGGCTAAGCTTAGGGTGAGAGTATCTGCACGTCAGTGGCCTGAGCATGACTGAACGTGACTGAATCCTCCTGGGGTCTCTTGGGGCTTCCTGGGGCTTCCTCAAATCTCCTGGGGCTCCTGGGGCCTCCTGGGGCCTATTGGGGCCTTTTCTGGGGCTTCCTGGAGCCTCTTGGAACTCTTGGGGCCTCCTGCGGCTTCCTGGAGCCTCCTGGGGCCTCTTGGGGACTCCTGGGGCCTCCTGGGGCATCTTGGGGACTGCTCCTCCTTGAGCTTCCTGGGGCTTCCTGAAGCCTCTTCGGGCTTCCTTGGGCCTTCCTGGCGCTTCCTGGGGACTGAGCCTCCTGAGACCTCCTGGGTCCTTCCTGGCGTTTCCTGGGGCTTCCTCGGGCCTTTTGGAGCCTCCTGATACCTCTTGGGGCTCCCTGTGGTTTCCTGTAGTCTCCTTGGACCTTCTGGGGCCTCCTGGGGCCTCCTGGGCATTCCTGGAGCCTCCTGGGGAGGATTTGTGCCCCAGGAGAAGCCCAATAGATAGGAACAGTTGCAAAACACTTCGGATTGGAACCACAGGAGAAGGACAATATATAGGAACACACGTAAACACCAAGGATCCGTGCCCCACAGGACGCCCAATCTATATGAACATACGTAAAACACTCAAGATTGAAGCAACAGGAGAAGGACAATCTATATGAACATACGTAAAACACTAAGGATTCGTGCCCCAGGAGAGGCCTGATCTATAGGAACAGACGTGAGACACACAGGATTGGAGCCGCTCCTGGGGCCTCCTGGGGCCTCTTGGGGCCTGCTGGGGCCTCTTGGAGCTTTCTGGCGTTTCCTGGCGCTTCCTGTGGCTTCCTGGGGCCTCCTGGGACTTCCTGGGGCCTCCTGGATGTTCCTGGGGCTTCATGGAGCTAGGGGCCTCCCAGAGCCTCTTGTGGCATTATGGTGCTTCCTGGTGCTTCCTGGAGCATCCTGGGGCTTCCTGGGGATTTCTTGAAACTCCTCGAAATCCTTGGTGGCCCCCGTGGGGAACTAAATCCAGCAAACCGCTCGAGTCATGGCCGCAATGTAAGCGCGCACGGAGGCCGTGCGACTGGCATCGATTCGAGGCTACGCCGCTGGGAGCCCCTTTGGGGAGCTAAATCCAGCAAGCCGCTCGAGACATCCTCAGAATCTGCTCTGAGCGCAGACGGGTCTGGCCA